GTTGCTTTTTATCTGCCCCAATGTCACTTGCCTGGAAAAAAGTAACGTACTCTTTCCACATATGGCAGGATTGAATGAGTCAAGTTTCCCAAATAGTGGCATGATGCCAGAAATGCTTACTCCAACTCAAAGACAACTGTTGCAAACAAATCTCTTCTGGAGCGTGTTTTCTCTCATCACCATTAAAATAACTCCACGAAGGCTGACATCCCATTACCAAGTCCCCTTTATTTACATGTGCATTGTACTTGACGCTTGTCCAGCTAGCTCAGAGCTGCCTCCTAGAGTGAGCAGAACTCCAGAAACTCCTGTTTATATATGTCAGCCACGGTTCCCTGATTGGACCAGGTTAACAGCTTTAATCAGGGAACTCATATTATATACAATCCATGTGGCTGACCTTGTTCCAATTACTACAGTTGCTCAGCATAGACATGGTGAGCCAACGAGTCTGTTTCTATGCTATATAACTCTATGATGTTCGTTAACTACAAAGGTTTTTACGACAATCAACAGTAGTTTCACAGTTATGGTTACACAGTTTTGCTTTACATGCCAGTTTTATTCATTGCAACAGTGCAGTGGTGGGATTTGAACACATATTTTGGGGAGGCGATGGAATTATCACTAGAACTCAGAACTCAGCTGCTTTTCTGGGGACCCTGGTTCAAACCCTGCCAGATGGTGACATTTGAATTCAATTTTAAAAAACTGGAATTAAGAATCTACCGATGATCATGAAACTTTTGCCAATTGTCGGAACACCCCATCTGGCTTACTAATGTCCATCAAGCAAGGAAATCTGCCATCCTCTGACCCGCAGCAATGTGGTTGTTTCTCAACTGCTGTCTGAAATGGCCAAGCAAGCCACTCAGTTCAAGGGCAGACAGGAATGGGCAATAAATGCTAGCCAGCCAGAAAACCCACGTCCTGTGAGTGTTCATTTAAACAAAATTCCTGGAGTCTTAGTAGGAACATAGGAGCAGCAGTAGGCCATTCAATCCCTCGAGGATATTCTGCAATTCGATGAGATCATGGCTCATGGCTCTCCATATACCTGTCTTTGGCTCATGTTCCTTAAGATCTTTGCTTAACAAAAATGTATCTATCTCAGATTTAAAATTAACAGCTGATCCAGCATCTAGTACCATTTATGGAAGAGAGTTTCAAACAGTACTGACAGTGTGTGTAAGTACTTCCTAACAACTTTCCTGAGCTGTACTGTCCTACTTCTCAGACTATGACCCCTAGTTCTAGAGTCCCAATCAGTGGAAATAGTTTATCGTTATTTACCCTGTCTTTTCCTGTTAATATCTCAAAGACCGATTAGATCACCTTTAGCCTTCTAAATTCTAGAGAAAACAGGCCTTGTTTCTATAATCTCCTCTCATAACCTAACCCCTGAAGTCCAGGTATCATTCTTGTAAACCTACATTGTACTAATATATCCTTCCTTAGGCGTGGTGCCCAGATCTGCTCACAATACTCAAGGTGAGGTCTAACCAGGGCTTTGTATATCTGCAGCATAATGTCTGCATCTTTGTGCACCAGTTCTCTAGATATAAACGCCAGCACTCTACTAGTTTCCTTGATTATTTTCTACACTTGTTCATGACATTTGAGCCCCTGAGTCTCTTTGGATATCCACTGTACTTAACTTCATACCATGGGGACAGTACAGTGGCTCAATGGTTAGTACTGCTGCCTCACAGCACCAGGGACCTAGGTTTAATTCCAGCCTCAGGCGACTGTCTGTGTGAAGTTTACACGTTCTCTCTGTGTCTGTGTGGGTTTGCTCTGGTTTCCTCCCACAGGCCAAAGATGTGGAGGTTAGGTGGATTGGCCATGCTAAATTGTCCATAGTGTCTAGGGTGGGAAATGCAGGGATAGGGTAGGGTTGGGTTGCTCTTTGGAGGGTTGGTGTGGACTCGATGGGCCAAATGGCCTGCTTCCACACTGTAGGGATTCTATGATTCCTGTGATCTAGAAATACCCTGATCCATCCTTCTCCGGTCCGCAATGGATACCCTCACACTTGGTTACATTGAAATCCATCGGCCACAGTTTTGTCCATTCACCTAATCTATCAATATCCCCTTGTAAATTTTTGTTATCATCTACAATGCCGCCTAACTTTGTGTCATCAGCAAATTTGGATATATGACTTCCTCTGCCATTAATGTGAATAATTGAGGCCCTAGCACAGATTCTTGTGGGAGACCACTGGTCACATCCTGCCAATTTGAGTACTTGCCATTATCCATACTTTGTGTCACCTGCCACTCAACCTATTTCTCAGCCATGTCAATAATTAGCTCTCAATTCTATGGGCTTCTAACTTAGTTAACAATCTCTTATGTGGGAGTTTATCAGATGCCTTCTGGAAATACGTATAAACATTATCCCCTGTCCGTTACCTTAGTCACATTTTCAAAAACTTCAATAAGGTTCGTCAGCATGACCTCCCTACATGAATCCATGCTGGCTCTCCCTGATTAATTGAAGATTTTTGGGGTATTCAGTTGTTCTGGGCTCTGGATTAAGGGTGCAATGATATTGCCGCAACACCACCATCACCCTAACTTTTAGACAATGCCATCCCAACAATGCCCAACCAATGGAAGAGGCTGTCTCTCTCCAACCTATGTGTGCCTCAACTATCTTGAAACATCAGTTAAATCACCCTTCCTAACAGTGTAACTTCCAGCAAAGACAATCCCAGTTTGTGTAATCTTTCCTTTTCATTAACAAATGGAGTTATCAAGTTCAGTGAACAAAAACAAGCCAGCTCAGCGAGCAAGTCAACAACCTTATCCACATCCCGAGCTACAGATCTTTGCCAAAACTTTAAATGGAGTTATCATTTGACAATCTCATGCTACATTCTCTCCAGGCCAATATATCTTTTCTACAGATTTCTGTTAGTTTAGCCGACAATTCCTATAGGGCACTTCATCAAATATCTTCTGGGAGGCCATATAAATAACATCCATTGACATTTCCCAACACCTGTTTAAAATGGTATGCAGATATCTCAAATTTCCTATGTAGAATTATAGAGTTATATAGCATGGAAACAGATTCTTTGGTCTGACTCATCCACGTTGACCAGATATCCTGAATAAACCTAGTCCCATTTGCCAGCATTTGGCCCATATCCCTGTAAACCCTTCCTATTCATATACTCATCCAGATGCCTTTTAAATGTTGTAATTGTACCAGCCTCCATCACTTCCTCTGGCAGCTCATTCCATACACGCATCACCCTTTCCGTGAAAAAGTTGTCCCTCAGGTCTCTTTTAAATCTTTCCCCTCTCAACTCAAAACTCTAGTTTTGGACTCCCTCACCCCAGGGTAAAAGACCTTGTCTATTGACGCTTTCTATGCCCCTCATGAATTTATAAACCGCTATAAGGTCACCCCTCAGCCTCTGACAATCCAGGGAAAATAGCCCCAGTCTATCAGCTTCTTCCTATAGCTCTAACTCTCCAACCCTGGCAACATCCTTGCAAATGTTTTCTGAATCCTTTCAAGTTTCACAACATCCTTCCTATAGCAGCGAGACCACAATAAAAACAACTTAAAACCACATTTAAATATTTCTTCCTCCAAAAAATTATTTAAGAGGATAGGATGCCCACTGAGTCAATTTAACGCCGTACAATAATTTTAAATATTTTCATCCAGAGCTGTAGCATCATATCTTGTGCATTTTGATTTTCCAAACTGATTTTCCACATTTCAGTGGCAAATTCTGGCAGAAAGTATGTAAATATGGGAGTAGAAAATGGTTACTGTGGACTGTGACAACATTCATTAACATAGAGCATTATTGCCAACAATATCGAAATTTGCCTTCTCCCACACCGAGCAAAGTTAGTAGCTAATAACATAAAACTGGAAATTGGTGGGTTAGTGGTTAGCACTGCTGCCTCACAGTGCCAGGGATCCAGGTTCAAATCCAGCCTTGGGCGACTTTCTGTGTGGAATTTGCACATTCTCCCCACGGTGCAACACTGCTCCGGTTTCCACCCACAGTCCAAAGATATGCAGGTTAGGTGGACTGGCCATGTAAAATTGCCCATAGTGTCCAGAAATGTGTAGGTTAAGTGGATTAGCCATGGGAAATACAGGGTAGGGGGTTGAGTCTAGGTGGAATGCTCTTTGGAGAGTTGGTGTGGACTTGTTGGGCTGAATGGCCTGTTCCCACACTATAGGGATTCTATGGTATAATGGATGAATGCTGAATGTGATTAAATGATATAATGTGATTGAATGTATCACAGTCTGTAATTTTAAGGCAATGTTGATTCATGCATCATATCTACCCAAGTAAAAGGCAATCTCATAAAAGTTGTCCCATGATCTTTGACTTAGAACTTCATAATTTTTCACACACCACATGTAAAAGTCGACCTTAGCTTTTCGGGATGAATGTCCATTGGCTACCCTACTTCCCTCTCATCGCTACTTGCCCTTCATACACTCATTGGTAAAAGGACAGCTATTAGGAGACGCCGTCCAGGAAAGCCTGCTGTTGATCTTCATGTTTGATAGATGCTTCTTGACCCAATGCCCTGTCACAGCCCATGTCACTGAATGAGAAGGAAAAATCACCAGACTAGGACTCAGAATTATATAGTACTGTCAAACTTTTAGTGCAGGTTGCTGAACTTCAGCAGATCAGATCTCACTTGGTTTTTGCATCTGTCATAGTAACAGGCCAATCAGTGGTCTCACCTAGATAGGCCAGCCAATCCATGTACAGGATGTTGCGTGAGCTCAAACCAAACAGACATATCAGCCCCTCGAAAATATTATTTAGGTAAAAGTTGAGTCTGAAGTTTTTGCCTAAAAAATGATCGAAGAATTTGACTTTCAAATTGGGTGAACGTGGTGTTTTGAACAAATGAACAAGTCCTCCCCTTTTATCAATGATAATTTTACAGCTTTAATGAGCTAATAGAAATATTGATTTAATTCTTATGCATCCAACATACCTATGCAAACAAGGTCCATAAAGCCATACATTCCATAGCAGATCTGAAATAAGATGTCTCTTCGCTGCCAAATTGCAGCAGGACTGAATGCTGACCATAAGAGCCAGGTCACACTTGCTATCAGAAAAAGGCAACCAAGGATCACTGCTATTATTTGAACCTTCTCAACCAAGGTCACTGTGATAGGTTCCCACTGCAGGAGAAAAAATATAATTTAATCTAGAGAGTATCAATAAATAAAAGTTAGCTTTTTCAAAAGCAAACAGCTCCTTTCATCCATATAGATGGTCTTCCATAACAATTAAAATATTACTTTACATTTACAACAAATAGTCGATTTTTTTATACATTGTAATGCTGTTCTATAAATATGTTTAATGTGGCAAATACTAGGCTCCACAAATAAAGACAAATTATTATTATCAATATGCTACCTTCACCCTATACAAGTCTCACTTCATAACTTTATTTGCTGTTCAGAGACCCTCACTATTTTTCTTTTATTTTTCTCATTTCTTTTGGCTTGGAACTGTGAGTTGAGATTCAGAGTTAATCTTTGAATTAGCAGCTTGTTTTAAAGAAGAGAACAACGACATATATGTTTGCTGTTTGGGACCTGGCCTTGAAAACAATGCTACTTAATTACTGTTCTAAGGACACTGTCTATAAATCAGCACCTAGCTCTTTTTATGCTCAGGCTGTCAACTGGTTGGATGCTGAATTGGTCAATAAAGGGAGGATCGGTGCTAACCAATCTACCACAAAGAAAGAATGTTGATGGAAAAGAAAAAAAGTGAACCAGTTATGACTGGGTTTTTAGCAGGAAGCTGTGTGATTTTTGAAGGCTTCTGGAAACTGTTGTTGTATTTTGCTCTCTGGATCTCTTATTTTCTATCCAGTTATCAAAATTGAATGTTCTTGGGTAGAAAAAAGTCAGTCTATAAGAAATAAGTAAAAATTTCTTGGGAGTGTGCTAAAACTATTTACATTTATTTATTCATTATGGGATGTGGGCATCACTGGTTGGCCAGCATTTATTGCCTGTCCCCCTAGTTGCCCTTGAGAAAGTGATGGTGAGCTGCCTTCTTGAACTGCCTGCTATGGTTTGACCCATGATGCCATTAGGGAGGGAATTCCAGGATTTTTACCCAGCGACAGCAAAGGAAAGGTGATATATTTCCAAGTCACAATGCTGAGTGTCTTGGAAGGGTATTTGAAGGTGTTGGTCTTCCCATACATCTGCTGCCCTTGTCCTTCTAAATGGAAGTGGTCATGGGTTTGGAAGGTGCTGTCTGAGGATCTTTGGTGAGATTCTGTGGTGCATCTTGTACAGCCCACTGATTGGCCTCTTACAATGACAGATTCAAGAACCAGGTGAGATCTGATCTGCTGAAGTTCAGCAGTCTGCACTCAAAAGTTCAACAGTGCTATATAATGCTGAGTCCTAGTTTGATGATGACTTTTTCTTCTCATTCAGTGACATTGTGCATTGCTGATACTGAGCGTCGGTGGTGGAGAGAGTGGATGCTTGTGGTTGTAGTGCCAATCAAGCAGGCTGCTTTGTCCTAGATCTTGTCAAGCTTCCTTGAGCATTGTTGGAGCTGCACTCATCCAGGCAAGTGGGGAGTATTCCATCACAGTCCTGATTTGTGCCTTGTAGATGGTGGACAGGCTTTAAGGAGTCAGGAGGTGAGTTACTTGCCACAGTATTCCTAGCCTCCAACCTGCTCTTGTAACCACTGTGTTTATGTGGTGAGTCCAGTTGAGTTTCTGGTCAACGATAACCCCCAGGATATTGATAGTGGGGGATTCAGTGATAGTAACGCCATTGAATGTCAAACAGCAATGGTTAGATTGTCTCTTATTGGTGATGGTCATATGGTGATGGTGTGGCGTGAGTATTACTTGTCACTTGTCACTTGTCAGCCCAAGCCTGGATATTGTCCAGATCTTGTTGCATTTGAATAAGGACTGCTTCAGTATCTGAGGAGCGGCAAATGGTGCTGGACATTGTGCAATCAACAGCAAACATTCCCACTTCTGACTTTATAATGCAGGGAAGGTCATTAAAGACGCATTTGAAGATGGTTGGGCTGAGGACACCACCCTGAGGAACTCCTGTAGAGACGTCCAGGAGCTGAGATTACTGACCTACAACAACCACAACCACCTTCCCATATGTCAGGTATGACTCCAACCACAGGAGAGTTTGCTCCCTGATACCCATTGATTCCAGTATTGCGAGTGCTCCTTGATGCCACACGCGGTCGAATGCAGCTTTGATGTCAAAGGCTGTCACTCTCACCTCGCCTCTGGAATTCAGCTCTTTTGTCCATGACCAATGCTGTAATGATGTGAGGAGCTGAGTGGCCCTGGCAGAATCCAAATTGGGCATCACTGAGCAGGTTATTGCTGAGCAGATGCTGCTTGATAGCACTACTAATGAGACCTTCAATCACATTACTTATAATTGATAGTAGATGAATGGGGCGACAATAGGCCAGGTTGGATTTGTCTTGCTTTTTATGAACAGGGCATGTCTGGCCAATTTTTGATATTGTTGGATAGATGCCAGCATTGTAAATGTACTGGAACAGCTTGGATAGGGGAGCAGCAAGTTCTGGAGCATAAGTTTCCAGTACTATTGCCGGAATGTTGTCAGAGCCTGTAGTCTTTGCAGTACCCAGTGTCTCAAACTGTTATGTGATATCACAAGGAGTTAATTGAATTGGCTGAAGACTGGTATCAGTAATGGTAGGGACCACTGGAGGAGGCAGAGATCCTCTGAGCACTTCTGGCTGAGGATTGCTGTGAAAGCTTCAGCCTTATCTTTTGCACTGATGTGCTGGGCTAGTCCATCATTGGGGATGTGAATATTTGTGGAGTCTCTTCCTCCAGTGAGTTGTTTAATTGTCCACCACCATTCAGGACTGGATGTGGCAGGACTGCAGAGCTTAGATCTGATCCGGTGGTTGTGGGATCACATAGCTCTGTCTATCACTTGTTGCTTATGCTGTTTGGCGGCTTCACCATGTTGGTACCTTATCTTCAGGTATGCCTGATGCCGGTCCTGACGTATGCCCTCCTGCATCTGGCTATGAGGTTACAGATTATGCTGGAGTACAATTCTGCTGCTTTGATGGCCCAAGTGCCTCATTGATGCCCAATCTTGAGTTGTTATATCTATTCGAAGTCTGTCCCATTTAGCACAGTGATAGTGCCACACAACATGATGGAGGTTATTCTCAATGTGAAGCTGGAACATTGACTCCACATGGACTGTGCAGTGGTCTCTCTTACTGATACTATCATGGACAGATGCATCTGAAACTGGCAGATTGGGAAGAATGAGGTTAAGTATGTTTTTCCGTCTTGCTGGTTCCCTCACCAACTGCTAAAGAGACCCAGCCTCAGCAGCTTTGTCTTTTATGACCCGAACACCTTAATTAGTAGAACTGCTGACGAGCCATTCTTGGTGGTGGACACTAAAATACCCAACCCAGAGTACTTTTTGTGCCCTTTGCTATCCTCGGCACTTCCTCCAAGTGTGGTTCAAGATAGAGGAGTACTGATACATCAGCTGAAGGAGGACGGTACGTCGTAATCAGCAGGAGGTTTCCTTACCCATGTTTAATCTGAAGCAATGAGACTTTATGGGGTCTGGAGTCAATGTTGAGGACTCCCAGGGCAACTCCATCTTGACTGTATACCGTTGTGCTGCCATCTCTGTCAGGTCTGTCCTGCTGGTGAGACAGGACATATCCAGGGATGGCAATGGTGGTGCCTGGGACATTGTCTGTAAGGTATGATTCTGTGAGTATGATTATGTCAGGCTATTGTTTGACTAGTCTGTGATACAACTCTCCCAATTTTGGCACTAGCCCCCAGATGTAAGTAAGGAAGACTTTGCAGGGTTGACAGGGCAGTTTTTGCTGTTGTCATTTCCAGTGCCTCGGTCAATGCAAGGCGATCCGTCTTGAGACTTCTTGATTTCTTGAGACTTTGTAGCGATTGGTACAACTGAATAGCCTGCTAGGCCAGTTAAGAGGGTAGTTGAGAATCAACCACATTGCTGTGGGTCTGGTATCACATGTAGGCAAGTCCAGCTGAGGATGGCAGATTTCCTTCCCTGAAGAACATTATTAACTGGTGACTTCAGAATTCTAGCAAGATATACAACTCCACATCTCTATGAACAACCCACTGTCCAAGGATTTCATGAATGCCTGTCCATCACTGGAAACTGTCTATTGAACTGGCAAATTGTAATTCCTTTATTTTCCTTTCTTTAAATTTGTCTCTTAACTGTATCTGTCTGTGAGTGAGTGGGGTTATAGTCAAAACAGATTGCGTTTTCGATTGTAGATATTAATTAGATTACTTTGTTTATCTGTGTTCTATTAAAGTTGTATTATTAGTATTAAATTGTTAATTTTTGTTTAAGTTATAAACTTGGTGTCTAAGATCTTTATTTGTAAAGTCTGGTTAGGAAAAATTGTGCAATTTTGAGAGCCATTGAATGTTTTGTGAATCCAGTGATAGTGAAGCTGATTTGGTATAGCTGTGTTGGAACAACTGCTTTCACTCAATACAAGTGAACTTGTGCGCCCTCTTCTGGCACAGTTGTAGTGTGGGCTGGGAAGCCCAGGTTCAAGCCCCACCTGTTATAGAGGTGTGTAATAACATCTCTGAATACGTTGATTAGAAAAATAGTTTAATAAAAAAATGTACAAGTGAGTTTATCCAACTCCATTTTGATTTAACCCCCTCCCCCTCTCCCTACCTCTCCGTCATCTTTGATGTCATTGCACCACCCTGGGTTTTGCACGTAAATTAATCAAATGGAAAATATGGCTGATTTACTGATGGTGGTTAAAGGTGACAAAACACCATGGATGATTTGGTGATGGAAAAAAAAAAATTTGATTGAATATAAGAGCACTTCTGGACAAAGAAGAAGGTAAAAAAAACTTTAAAATAATGAAAGTACAAATGAGTTTTAAGGGTTCTTGTGGTGCAATGTTAATATCCCTACCTCTGAGCCAGGAGATCTGAATTCAAGTCCCATATGCTAGAGAGGTGTGTAATATCTACAAGTGAGTTGGATGATTCTTATCAGTGAAAGCAGGACTGAAGTTAATTCTGAAGTTAATTAGACTGGAAATCATTTTCTGGTTCAAACATTTAGTAATG